GTGTGGCTTGAGACCAGTCACTTAACATCTTTGGACCTCAGCTTCTCCATATGAAAAATGGCAATTAAAATACTATATAAAGGAACTAGTGTTTATTGAGCAACTGCTCTATGTTGATGTGCTAAGTGCTTTATTTTATGTTGCATCCTTTCATTCATTCATTCAGCAAGTATTTGTTGAGCACCCAGTATGTACAGGATATTGTACCTGGCCTAGGGATGTATCAGGCACAAAAAACAAAGACCTGCCTGGCTTTCTTAGAAGTAAAATGCAAGTAGGGCTGTGTGAAATTAACTAGAAAAGAAATATCAAGATACTCGTCATTATTAATGAGTACTATATAGATAATAAAACTAGACCACGTGATAGAAAATAACCTGGGGACAGGGTTACTTATGCAGGGTTGGCTTTCTAGAAGGAGACATTGGAGTTGGGACTTGAATGATGAAGAGCAGCCTGAAGAGTCCAGAGTCCATGGGACAAGTCTGGGAGACAGCACTCCAGGTAGACAGTAAGTGCAAAGGCCCTGATGCAGGTAGGAGTTCAAACTGTCTGGAAGGCCATGTGACTATAGATAGGAGAGTGAATGGAGCGTGGTAGGAGGGATTGGACACTGGGTGAAATGAGACTAGAGAGGTAGGCAAGAGCCAGACCACAGTAGCCTTTTGGGTTGTGATAAGGTATATGGGCTTTGTTCTGATTGATCTTACTTTTTTTTTTTTTAATCATTAAAGGTGTATTAAGGAGAATAGTGGGACAAGAATGGAAGAAGAAATGACAATAGGGAGGATGTTTTCTTACCTAGGTGAGAGAAGCAAACTCTTTCTGTAAAGGATCACACAGTAAACATTTTAGGTTTTGTGAGCTATATAATCTCTGTCATAATACATTCTTCCCCTCTCTCTCCTGCTTCTCCTCCTCCTTTTTAGACAACCCTCTAAAAATGTAAAAACCATTAGTCTTGGGTGATACAAGAACAGGAGTTTGCATGCTGGATTTGGACTGTCTAGCTGGGCAGTAGTTTGCAAACCCCTGGCTTAGAGAGAAGTAGAAACTGACTGGCATATATTTAGGACACAGAATGGATAGGACATGCTGATGAACTGGGTCTGTGTGGGGAGGGGGTAAGAGAAAGAGGAAACAAGGATGGCCTCAGTGAAGAAGTAGAAGGTGGTGCCATTTACTGAGATGGGGAAGAAGCACATTTGGGAGTGGGGGGAGAGGGGAAATTAAGAGTTAAGTATGAGTTGCCTATTAGTCATCCAATTTGGAGATGTCAAGTAAGGAGCCTGATATAGACTCTGGAGCTTAGAGGTCAGGGCTGGAAATCCACATTTGGGAATTGGGGAGTTATCAGACTATGAATGCATTTAAAGTCATGGGAGTGAATGAGATCAACCCCCAAATGCAGCACAAAGGTTCCAGGAACAGGTCTTGGGAGACTTTAGAACTTAGAGAACCCATAGAAGTCCTTGGAATCATTCTCTGGGTCAAAGACACATGACAAATATTGCCAAATGGCTTTCCAAAAGGGTCTTTTGCATCTTCACAGAACCCACCTTGTTTTAGCTGCTTAAATACACTCTATGAGTGGGCCTGTACACATGAATGGGCAGAGACACCAGAGTTAGGAATTCTTGACTGCTTCTGCATGGGAGTGGGGAGCCTCAAGCCACACTGGAGGATTCAGCTGGTTAAAGGAGGCATCGAGAAGGCAGAAGGCAGATGGCTAAAGCCTTTCTAACCACAGAAAGGACTGTCCAAGGATTTCTAACCACAGAAACACCCAGCAAGTTTATCACAAATGCAGATTCTTAGTAAGAGCTCTGAATCACTGTCTGGGGTGAGGTGTGTTTTAAACATGCTCCCTCTCTATAAACAAAAGGTTGAAAACCCTGTGGCTTAGGGATAGTCTGGGTAAAGAGTATGTCCTGGTGACATCTATTCAGCTCCAGAGGCCCCAGGGGCTTCAGGAATCTTGGGAACCTGGGTCCGGCTGGGGAAGTTTCAGGATGATAGGATAGCAGAGACTGTTAGGCTAGGAAGAAACATTTTTTCTGGTTGTGGCACTCTTCCTGTTTGCTCTCCAATTCATGAGGCCTTTTCCCTGCAACAAATGAAAAATGGTACCTTCTTTAATGCAGATGTAGAGTTTAAAAGTTTGGGTTCCCTAGGAGTATCTACTCTGCCCTCTAGTTCCATAGCATAGAGGGGAAAATTTTTTTCCCCTGAATTTTATTGGTAAAATTGAAATTGTATCTACACTTTAGATACATCATGGATTAAATACATTTGTGTGAAAACAGCTAAGGAATAATTGAAGGAATTTGCTGTTAGGTCTTTTGCTAGGAGCTAAGGGATCAATATTGCATTTACTGAACCATTATTTATTGTGCCTTCTAAGTGCCAGGCCCTATTTTATTTTATTTTATCTATCTATCTATCTATCTATCTATCTATCTATCTATCTATCTACTTATTTTTAGTTTATGTGTGCAAGCCCCAAGTGCAGCTCAGGGCACATTCCCATGACCAACTGTGAGATCATGACCCGAGCCAAAATCTCAAGTCAGACGCTCAAACGACTGAGCCACCCAGGTGCAGCATCAGGCCCTATTTTAGATTCAGGAGATAAAGCAATGAAAAAAATAGACAAAAATCTCGGCCCCTCACAAAACAGATACCCTAGTTAGGGAGACAGATTAATAAACAAGATAAATACATACAGTGTATATAAAATAGTGGCGAGTGCTAGGAAGAAAAATGTGAAGGAGGGAAGGGGGACAAGAAATAGTTGGAGGCAGGATAAGTGAGAACATAGGACAAGAAAGTACACGTGGGCTGTGACTTGGGAAAGTAACTCAATTTCCCTAGGTCTCAGTTTCTTCATCTGTAAAATAATAAATAATGGTACCTTCCTGAAGAAGGCTCAGGCGCTCAGACTGACTTTGTCACTTTTAAACAATGGGATCTGGAGTGTGAAAGATCTTTGGCCTCTCAGAACCTCAGTTTCCTCATCTGTAAAATGAATAGACTTGCCCAGCCTATGTCATATGGTGATTGAAAATGTCAAGTGAGATAATTACATGAAAATATTTTTTAAAATAAGCTATTATATGAATGTAAGATAGAAATTAAAATACATGCATAGATAGAAATTAAAATACATGCATACACACACGCATGCGCACACACACACACGCACACACACACACAGGATTTTATGGGTTGCAAATCTTTGGCTGATGGTCAGCAGAGCATAAGGGCTGAGAATAAACAATGAATTGAATAACTCCTTGATACTGATTCCCTGCATGGGCAGGGAAAAGGCCAATGCAAATTATGAGGATGTGCTGAGTAGACTAGCAATCTTATCCTAGATCGGGGATAAAATAATCAAACTAAATGTTCCTAAATGGACACCTCATAAAATAATTATTATATGGCATTTGTCAAATTTTAAAATGCTTTACAGCTCCTTTATGTTTGTTCTTGTTTTGTTTGTGGGACTTCAGTTCCAGGAAAAGAACTAGATGGACTGAAAGGAGTTATAAATACAGAACAATCATTTAAATTGCTAAAAGCAGATAGTCCAACTTCTGGGTATTTCTGTAGCTGATCAATGAAAAGCAATCAAAGTAGATGATTCTAAATTTAGGCTCTTGTGTATTCCTTTTTCATCTTCATATTTTCTTCATTCCTGACTATTTGATAGCAATAGTGGTTAAATCAAAACATGTCGGTATTCATGCACGGTATAGTGTACCATCATCACATAGTAGGTACTCAATAAATATTTGATAAAAGAACATATGAGCGATTACCATGTACATTTACTTACTACAGAGTAGCCTATTTGATCCCTAAAGTGTTTATGCATTAAAAACACGTAATTACTTGACAACGCTTATCTGGTAAATGGCATCGGCTCCATTTTTCAGACTGAACTAAAACAGTGTGTTTTATTCAATTTAAATGGAAAATACACGGGCACCAGACTGCTTCAGTCCGGTGGAGCATTCAACTCTTGATCTCAGGGTTGTGGGTTCCAGCCCCCACCCTGGGTGCAGAGATTACTTAAAAATAAAATTAAAAAAAATTTTTTTCAACGTTTATTTATTTTTGGGACAGAGAGAGACAGAGCATGAACGGGGGAGGGGCAGAGAGAGAGGGAGACACAGAATCGGAAACAGGCTCCAGGCTCTGAGCCATCAGCCCAGAGCCTGACGCGGGGCTCGAACTCACGGACCGCGAGATTGTGACCTGGCTGAAGTCGGACGCTTAACCGACTGCGCCACCCAGGCGCCCCAAAAATAAAATTTTAAAAAGAAAATACAAAATCCAAATTTCGTTGAATGTTACCTAACATAGTAGGTGCCTGAGGTTTACTAAATAAGATACATATTCAGAAAGCAGTTACTCCAGCAGTTACTGTGCTCAGGTGCACGATCTGTGCCTACGCCCAGCTCACATTCATCAGGTAACCCATACACCTAATCTGAGATACTGGCTCCGCTCGCCTAATAGCTAAATTAGAATCTTTCCGCTCAGCCTCTCGAAGTTTTCTTCTCTAGTGCTCAACGTGTCAGTTGTCACCAAGGCAGCAAGGTGCTGGGAAGGCCCATCTGCCTGCGCCCCGCCCGGCGGGCCTCGGAGGCCGATGGGCGGGACTAACCAAGGGCCTTTGTGGCCGTTTCCTATTGGTGCTTGGTTGCTATGGTATCACCGACCTTAAAAACTCGCGGGCACTACTTCCGGAAGTTAAAAAAGAATTACTTCCAGGGCTGCCCACACTTGTTACGGCTGACTGAGCGGTTACTAAGGTTAACAAAAATAAAACTTTTGAGGGAAACTTATAGAAAACCGAATTTAACCATTTTAATTTGTTGATATTACGTGGTATCATATCATGTTTTCCCTTTCAAGAGATTTATCATATAGTCCTCGTTTATTTGCCAGTCTCCAAAATGGCGCTCACGGCATTCGGTCAGAGGTGAGTCACGTGGGACCTCCCGGTTCCGGCGCGGTAGAGGCCCAAGGAGGTGAACCGTCTCCGGCACCATGTCTGGTTTGTCTGGCCCACCAGCTCAGCGTGGCCCTTCCCCGTTGGCGGTGCTGGTTTTATTCCTGCTGGGCCCCAGCTCGGTGCTCTCCATCTCCTTTCATCTCCCCGTTAACTCCCGCAAGTGCCTCCGCGAGGAGATCCACAAGGACCTGCTGGTGACGGGCGCGTACGAGATCACCGACCAGTCTGGGGGCGCTGGCGGCCTGCGTACCCACCTCAAGGTGCGGCAGTGGGCGGCGCGGGGAGGGAAGACCGTAGGCGTCGACCGAGGATGGGGTGGAGGGGCGGCCTGGGGCCTGGAGGGCGGCCTGGCCTCCCTGAAGCGCGATGGGTGCGCGGTCGAGACCGCCCCCTCATCCGGCTGGTCGGAGTTGGCGGGGCGGGGCGGGGCGCCAATGCCAGGGAACCCTTACAAGGGCCGCGAGGCCTTGCTGGATGTGGTGACCGCTGAGCTGGGGCGGCCTCGACTTTGGTCGTGGTCGGGGTCCTGTAAGTGTTCCGGTCCTAGTTATCTTGAACTGGAACTTGTTTCTCCGAAGAGGCCTCTGCGTGTTGAGTATGTGTCGGGCTTGGCATCATCAGACCCCCTGAAACCTGCAGGAAAATCATGGAAGGGCTGAAGCTTACCGTGAATAATAAAACCCGTTATTTGTTGAGCATTAGCTGTGTGTCAGGTCCTGTGCCACGTTACATATGATACTATTTAGTTCGTTACCGTTGGTTTCATCTTACACGTGAGCAGACTGAGGCTTAGAGCGATGTAGAATAAATTGATGTCCGAGCTGGAATTCTTGGTTTGGGAGTTCAGTAAGGTGAAAGAAAAGGACTGCAGTCTTACACTCGCCTTGCTTTTTATTTGTAATACCTGTGATTGGTTAAAGTCGATCGTTGGTCACAAAATGGTCACTCTGTAGTATTTTCTTTAACGGTACCCCAGAGTTTGGATTTGGCCAATTTTTATGCAAGATTTCAACAGTATTCGTTGATGGTGACAAACTACTACTGTAATGCCAGTTTGGCCCTCTTGTGCCATTAGGATGACCAGCGCTGTCTTTGAAAAGTTAATATAATATGATACCCATAAAGCTTTGATTGTTTTATTCATTCGGGATAAGTGCACAGTTTGTTAAGAAAAATGGGTCTTAGACTAAATAGGAAGAAACCTTTTTACTTTTTCATAGAGCTTCGGGTATAGTAAGACCATAATTTATGTTTAAGGTATTGGAACCCAGTAGTGGTAATTATTTATATTTTATTTGGGAGATATAAACTATTTTTAGGGGTTTGCTCAGTGACCTTTTCTTTTATTATTCTCTTCAGATACCAAACTTCTGTCTGACCAAGAAAGCTGTGATCATATAATTTTAGAGGTTTAGATACAGTGTTTTGAGAGTCATGCTGCTGACTCCTCGAAGGATGTAGTGCATAGAATAAGAGAATTTGAGCAATAAAGGAGATGTTACTCTCCTCTCCAGTGTTGTCCCCTCTGATTTATATTTACATTTTGAAACCCTTCAGTGGCTCACTGTTGCTCATCTGATAAAGTTTAAATTTTCCAGCGTGCTCTGTAGCGCTCTTTATGATCTCTTTCTGGAGCTTTATGTATTTGGTCACTCCCCATTTTGCATTTTAGGTATGAGCCACCCTGAACAGTACCCTGAACTTATTTTCATCTGATATTGTAGCTATTTGTCTTTATACCTTGTCTTTCTTATTAGATTGTTAGTATTCTGAGGGCAGGAATTATTTTCATGTTCATATTTTCCAGAATCTCAAGCATTTGGCCTGCCTTCTAGTAAGCCGTTAATAAATACAGGAAGCATAGTTTAGCTTTATGGCCTCATGTGAATTATATCGCCTCCAAGACTGCTGGAGACACCTCAACAACACTAACATTTTGCCATCACTCAATTGGTCTCCCCACGTGTGCTTCGTTCTCTTGCTTCTAACCAGCTTAATTGGATTACTCCTGGGATCCTAAACCCAAATAAATGCCAGGTAGGCAACATAAATGAATGAATTGGGACAGATATGATTATAAACAGTGGCAGTGATGATACCTGGGAGACGCTGGGAACTGTTAATTTGGGGTAGCCAGTACCGATCTCATGATGTAGGCCTTGTTGCCACATCTAATTTTTCACATGAAGTCAGAAATCCAGGTTTTGATGTGAAATCTCCTGATTTTTAAATGTCATCAACTGATTCAAATTGATTTGGTTATGGTTTGTTTGCAGTTTTATAGAGAAGAGTATGGTCAGTCCGCCATGAATACAGTACCCAGACTCAATACTTACCAGGGTCTTGCCACACTTGTTTCATCGAAACTGCCTCTCCTTCTCATTTTATGCTGATTTTTTTTTAATGTTTATTTTTGAGAGAGAGAAAGCAAGCACGAGTGGGGGAGGGGCTGAAAGAGGGCGGGGAACAGAGGATCTGAAGCAGGCCCTGCGCTGATGGCAGAGAGCCCGACGCGGGACTCAAACTCACGAACCAAGAGATCTCGACCTGAGCCGGAAGTTGGATGCTTAACCAAAGTCGGATGCTTAACCGACTGACCCGCCCTAGTGCCCATATGCCGAATTGTTTTAAAGTAAATCCCAGATATCATGGTATTTCAGTCTTGCACACTTCAGCATGAATTCCTTTAAGCACGTAGTCACGGTGCTATGTGGCTATACTCACTCCACAAAATTAATAATGCTATCCAGTAGTACCCAATTCATATTCAGGTTTCTCCACTTGTCTCAGAAATATGTTTTTAAATTAATTTCTTAGATCTCTCAAGTCTTCTTTAATCGAGTCTTGGCAGTTGTATTGTCAGTCAGTTGTCCGTAAAATGTCCTATACTGCGGCTTTGTCTGTTTACTTCCTTGAGGTATCATCCAAACAGTTCTTTCTGCTCCCCGTGTTTCTTGTAAAAGGAATCAGCTCTAAGATTTGCTGCAGTTAGTTTCAGGTTTATCTTTTTGGTGAAGAGTACTTCGTGGGTGCTGTATGCCTCATGCGGCATCGCAGCAAAGCACACAGTACTTTCTGTGCCTCTCAGTGCTAAGATTGATCAGTGGGTTCACCTTTGTGTTAGCGTCCTACTGCTGCTGTAGCAAATCACCACAAACTCAGTAGCTTAAAACGAGACACATTTATTTATCTGACAATTCGGAGGTTAGAAGTCATAAAATCAAGGTGTCAACAAAGCTGTGTTGTTTCTGAAGGCTCTAGGTGAGAGAATCCATTTCCTTGTCTTTTCCAGCATCTAGAGACTGCCTGCATTCTTTAGTTGGTGACCCTTCCCCCATCCTCAGAGCCTGTAATAAGTATCTCTAAATCTTGCTTTTTCTTCCTCTTTCCCACCGTCTCTCTCCCCCTCCCTCCTCTGCTTCCATCCATCATCTCCTTCTGATTTTCCTGCTTCTCTCTTTCCCTTATAAGGACCCTTGTGATAATCTCCTTATCACAGACCCTAATTTAATCACACTTGCAAACCCCCTTTTGCCATGTACTATAACATTCATGGGTTCTGAGGATTAGGGTGTAGACATCTTTGGAGAGGTGGGCATTATTCTACCTACCTAAGGTGGTAGCAGCCCAAAGTCTCCATTGTAAAGCTTCTCATCATTCTTTTACTTCTGAGTCTATTGCTGACTGTTGTGCGAATTTATTGTTTCATTAAGGTTGTGTAATGATTTTCTAATTTTGTTATTTCTTCCATATTTGCTAGCTGGAATTCTTTTTTTAATTTTTAATGTTTATTTATTTTTAAAAGAGAGAGACAGAGTGTGAACAGGGGAGGGGCAGAGAGAGGAAGACACAGAATCCAAAGCAGGCTCCAGGCTCTGAGCTCTCAGCATGGAGTCTGATGGGGGCTCGAACCCACAAACCACACGGAGTCTGATGCGGGGCTTGAACCCATGAACCACGAGATCATGACCTGAGCTGAAGTCAGATGCTTCACTGACTGAGCCACCCAGGTGTCCCTTAGCTGGAATTATTCTTAAAGAATTCATCAACTTTTAAAATCATTTGGTTACCCTAAAATTTTTAATTCATGTAGAAAAGGCAGGATAAATGCAGAATTCATTCCTTCTAATTGACAATTTTCAGAGTAAGAGAGAGTTGCCTTTGTCATTCGAATGTAGTCTGAAGAAGGTGTTATTTTAATGAAGTATTATACTGAAATCATTTTTTGTTATTTCCATTTTTAGAGTCATTGTTTTTATCACTTGCATTCTTTCTTTAGGCTCCCATGTCCCTCTGGTTCCTGTAGCCTTTTATTTTAACACAACCCCATTAGGGTTTGATAGCTTCCCTGTTTTGTGGAACAAGGTATCCTAGGCTCATCTTTCGTCTGCGCAACCACTGACCTAGAAGTGGCGGTTCCTCCAAGGAGTTCTGTCCATTTTTGTGGGGAATGGTATTTTAGAGACCACAAGCTGGGTGTCATTTTAAAAAATGTAATATACTGTTCAGGCCACAGAACACTTTTGTGGGCTTGCTCCAGTCCCTTATCACGGTTTGCAACCTTTTTTCATAGCATCTATTCACTTTCTTTTAAATTTTGACCACTTGTGCCCCACACTCTGCCCAAGGATTCTCTGTGCATCATTTCTGCTTCTGAAGTATACCTCTTGAGTGAGAGAATCTGATTGGTTCAGCTCTTTTTTATACGCCAGGCCACATTTCAGGTTTCTCACAGCCTACTGACTGTCTTCTCTTTGGTGTTTTGTCCATCCTTGGTTCAAGCAGCCATGGTTTGGGCTGAGGTTAAGAGGGGAGCTGGAGGCTTTCTGTAGTGTAAAATTTAGCTAACCGGACTTGGCATTTCATTGTTGCTCTGAATAAGGCAGTCTCTCTCATAAGGGTCTTTGTGAATATAGTGCCTCGATTGGCCTAATGCACTTTCTTCCTGTCAGGGAGTACCTTAATGTCCAGCGAATATATCAATGTTTTCACGTATCACTGTATGTTGTAGTTCTGTGTTTATATACACAGTTTTGTGTTTTCTTTCTTTTTTTTTTTTTAAACATTTTTTTTCCACGTTTATTTATTTTTTGGGGACAGAGAGAGACAGAGCATGAACGGGGGAGGGGCAGAGAGAGAGGGAGACACAGAATGGGAAACAGGCTCCAGGCTCTGAGCCATCAGCCCAGAGCCCGACGCGGGGCTCGAACTCACGGACCGCGAGATCGTGACCTGGCTGAAGTCGGACGCTTAACCGACTGCGCCACCCAGGCGCCCCCAGTTTTGTGTTTTCTTACATAGACTCTAAACTCCTTGAGCAGAGATTGTATTTCATTCGCCATTGAAATGCCTGTCTAATACAGTGCCTGGCACATAATACATAGTAGGACTTCAACATCAGAAATTAATGGACAAATGAATTGGCAGTGTCCTAGCCGTATCTCTGATTTTTTTTCTCCTCTTCCTTCCTCTTCATGTCTTTCCTCCCACTCCTGACTCCAACCGTACTGAACCTCGTGCAGTTCCTTGAATGCAGTGTTCTCTTAATCCGGACCAGTGTTTGGCTGCACACCCCTTCTGTGTGCCTTCTTTATAACCTGTTTGACATGGCACTTTTGATGTAGCATGGTGCTTACTTTGTGAAGTCTTTCGTGTCTTATTCATCCCTGTGTCTTAAGTTCAATGTACTGTATACTCATTATTCTACAACTGAGTCAAGTATATTAGCCTTATTAAATAAGAGTTGAGTGGAAAGACCCTGGATGTGGAGTTAGACAGATTTGAGTTCAAATCTCAGCAACTCCACCACTTAAATGGTGTATGGTCTCCAGTGAATTACTTAACCCTTCTCCTTGAGTCCCTGATACGTAACAGGGCGATGATAGATCTCATAGAAGTGTTGGAAGGACTAATTGAGGTGGTTCTTTATTATTCAGCGGATTATTCAGGTCATATATATTATTACTCTTTTGTTTCCTCTCTTCTGAATGAAAATTGCTAATCTGACTCCCCTGTCATATGTCATTGCAGTGACCTGATAAAGAATGTTATAATGAGAAGAATTCTGAGGATTTTGTTTGTGATTCTCCTATTCATGCAATGAATATTTTAATATTTAATATATGCCAGACCTAGCTGGGGAAATGGGGACGGAGAGCAGATGAAACCCTTGAGTTCTAGTTGGAAACAAAAACAGGTTAAAAAAACACACACAGTTGCAGCTAGTGACAAGTACTATAAAGAAAAATCAAACACTAGGGGGTAGGGAGTAACAGAGGGGTAGAGCATCTGAGTGGTCAGGGAAGGCCTCTCTGAATGGCAATGGATTGAAATGATGGGCGGGACTCTAAAGATTTTTGCTTCAGGCCTATATTAAGATGTGTTTTGTGCTGAGATTTCCAGTGAATTTATCCCATACCACCCTTCCCTGTTTTTTTTTTTTGTTTGTTTTTGTTTTTGTTTTTGTTTTTTTCACAAAATGAGGCTAACTCAGGCCGAACAGTATCAGATTTAAAGACTTTGCTATACAAAATTGAAGCAGGATGTATTGACTCATCATTTATAGTGAATATAGAAATTTTTTCATTGCTTCAGGCCCATAATAAGAAGCCTGTTGTAGGAACTCAGAATCTCAACTCTGTTGATTTTGAATTGAAAACCACATTTTCATTAAGACTAGATGATATCATAATAGTTTAATAAGCTCCAATACCATTTATCATTTAGAATGCTTATTAATAGTGCAAATTGGAGGATGAATTAGTTTTAGGTGATGAGTTGTTGCCTAAGGGTGATTTGTACATTACAAATAGTTTACAGAGTGCAAAAAGCAGTTGTGAAGAGTTGTCATAATCATCACCCAAAAGGAAAGAAAAGCCTAATGGTAATAATTGAAATGATTTATACTTTTTCAGCCTCTTCCAAATAATCTAATTGGTCTAACTTTTTTTTCATTGTCATTTTTTCAAGAGTGCTAATGCTAATTAATAGTTCATTTTGCTAAATGTAATTATTTTTTATTTGGATGTTATACCCAGTTGTGGTGCCAATCTTTCCCAACTAGCTTATAGATGAGAAAGCCAAACTGATCATTTGAGTTCAGCCTTGAGTCATAGGCCTATCATAATTTAAGCCTAAAAATGATCAAGAAGTATCTTGGCAGCTGGGAAACCATGGCTTTTAACTGTTTCCACCCCCAACTGAAGCTGTATGAAAAGATTGGGTGTGTGTGTGTGTGTGTGTGTGTGTGTGTGTATGATATAGTTTTGAGATTACTTTATTTGGAACAGTTATTTCCGTTTATTATTACTGGAATCTATACTGAGAACTGATCTTTTTCTGTTGAGAAAAATCTGTCTCTTTTAGGTTTACATGTGATGTGATTATCATCCAGTGGGTTAGAAACAATTGAATAAATAGGTGGTTTGGTACAGAAGGCCAATTGGTACATTAACATTTAATAGTATTAAAAGCTAGTTTCTTTTTGTAGTATATTCTGATTTCTGACCTGTGTTTCCTTCTCTCTAAAAGGTAAGCATCATGTTACTTCATTTAAATTTCTCTTATTCGGTGAAAAGTTGTCTACAGCCTTCTCTGTTTTGAACTGACCTAGAGAAGGGGCTGCTTAGATGTTGAAATTGGTGAGGCGCCTGAGTGGCTCAGTCCGTTGAGCTTCCCACTTGATTTCAGCTCAGGTCATGATTCCAGAGTTGTATCAAGCCCCATGTCCGGCTCAGCACTGAGCATGGAGCCTGCTTGGGATATCCTCCTCCCGCCCCCCCCCCCCCCCCCCCCCGTGCTCTTTCTCTCTCTCTCTCTAATAAAAATAAATAAATAAAAATAAAATCGAAATTGCTATGCCATGTCTTTATGATGATTTCTGGAGACTGTGCCTAGTTTCTAGGAAAATGGAAAAGATTTATAAAGGTAATCTAGTGGGTACAGTGTCTTCTATGCTGTTTCTTGTGTGAATTGCTGACTGGTGGTTGATCCTGAGCCATTGCCCCCATATGCATACTCAGTCTGGCAGCCTGGACAAGTAGAGCCTTCTGTGAAATCAGCTAGCTGGCCACGGACCAGAATTTGGGCTCCCAAACAAGCCTCCAACTTGAGGGAGGTTGATGTCATCTGCTTTATCCTGTGCCCCCAACCTCATTGTTCAACGTAATGTGTGGGAAATCAAGGGACTAGTTGTTAAGAAAGAACAAGGCTTTGTTTGTGCCTGAAAGGGTCACGCTGGAGGTTTTTACCGTAAATAACTTTGGAACAGTATGAAAAAAAACATTTGATCTGGCTTCACCCCCGCAGTAGTATTGTTAGGGCAGCAACTGCTCTTTCGTTCTCATTCCCCTCCCTTCCTCCCTCTTTCTTACTTTCTTCCCCCAACTTCTCCTCCCTCCCATCACCCCCACCCCCCAACCCTCCACCCCCACCCCCACCCAGTCACGCATGACTGTGTTGAGTTAATGTAGCAAATGCTGATAGAAGCAGGAAGAGAGCATCTATCCATTATCATATACAGTGCCTGGAAATTTCCCATCTCTCTCTCTTTTTTTTTTTTTTAATTTAAGTTTATTTATTTATTTTTTTCTTTTGAGAGAGACAGAGATAGCACAAGTGGCGGGGGGGGGGGGGGGGCGGGTTGAGGGTGGTTGTGCAGAGAGTGAGGAAGAGAGAATCCCAAGCAGGCTCGACACTGACAGTGCAGATCGCAACCCACAAACCAAGAGGTAATGACCTGAGCCGAAATCAAGACGCTTAACCAACTGAGCCACCCAAGCACCCCTGGAAATTTCTCATTTCTAGTTTTCAACACTTCTGCAAGTTGCCTCAAGCAATACTATGCCGCACTGCATCATTGTTGAATTGTGTTGGAAGTTTGAAAGAAGCTAGTGTTGTTTAATGCTGCTTGAGGCCTTTCTAAGTTTGACTTTGTTCTGGGTAGAATCTACATGTGATCCTTGGATTTCAGGGATGCAGTCGGTAGACTTGGTTGGTACTTGCTCTTGCTTGAAAGATCAGGGTAAATGCATTTTATGCCCGTTAGATATATAGCTTCTAGGCCATCCGTTACCTGTGTTCTTCAAGTTTGAAAACATCGGTGACTTGTAGTAGCTCACCTTTCCTGTGGTGATGGGAGATGATGAAGTGTCTATGTGATGAGATGAAGTGAGGTGAATGACAGGCATTGTGAAGTAGCACCAGGCTACTCTTGACCTGAACGTGCATCTGAAGGAGGGTCATCTGCTTCCGTACTACAGCGGGCTACAGGTAAGGGAGCCACACAAAGGGAAATCAAGGATGAGGGGAGACTACTCTACTGTTTTTCCAGTCTAAAACTACAGCATCTTCAGTGACTTGGTGTTCTTTCTGCTTTTTTATGTCTTAGGGTAGTAGATCCCATGGCTCAAGATTCACTTGTGAACTTTTACCAAAAGAAGGGTAGAGGCAGGCCTGCAACCGCAGATCATGCACACACAGTCCTCTCTTCCCCTCCCCTCCCCCTGCACCTAAGGTTGTTGGGTCCTGCTTGTAGGTTATTACTTGGCAGGTAAAAAAAAAAAAAAAAAAAAAAAAAAACAACCACATGCCAGAAATGCTGGTGTCATCTTGTATTTCTTACTGTAGCTTGTTAGCAGCTAAAAGGTTTCATTGAATCCTTGCTTCGTCAGACATTTTGTCTTCAGGTTCCAAATCTTGCTGCTGCTTCCTTGAGAATTTTGCCTTTTGTCTTTTTCTCTTTCCACGCGGTAACTATTTGGGCCATAATTGTCCCTGAGTTTAGTCAGGATAGTGTACTTTATAATATAGTTTGCCATCTAGTAACACTATTAGGTCGAAAGTATGGTTAGTGACCTAAATGTTTATGGAGTTCTGCGTTACAACTAACAAATAGTTACCATCATGAGAAAAGGACAGTAATAGTAACACTTGAGTGCTTGCCACATGCCAGACGCTCTTCTAGGCACTTTACATGTGTTGAATGAATTAATTAACCAATTTATTTATTTATTATTTTTTATACCTGTATTAAATTTAATCCTCACAGGGGCGCCTGGGTGGCTCAGTCGGTTAAGCATCCAACTTCGGCTCAGGTCATGATCTTGTGGTCTGTGGGTTCGAGCCCCGCGTCAGGCTCTGTCCTGACAGCTCAGAGCCTGGAGCCTGCTTCAGATTCTGTGTCTCCCTCTCTCTCTGGCCCTCCCCTGTTCATGCTCTGTCTCTCTCTGTCTCAAAAAATAAATAAACGTTTAAAAAAATTAAAAAAAAAACCTTTAAAAATAAATAAATAAATAAATTTAATCCTCACAATAATCTCACAGAGTATGTGCTACTGTCCTTATTTTACATATGAAGAACAGAGAGAGTAAGGAATATACCCAAACCTTTACAGCTAGTAAGTGGCACAATTGTGATTTGATCACAGACCTGAGGTCTGACTCTAGAACATTCAGTCTGTTAGCCTATACTGTCTTTCAAAGGGAGAAAAGGATACGTGTTTCTGTTTTAGTTCATTCTTATCAGTGTATAGAACTTGTACAAGGGTCCTGATGTTTCTAAATTCCTGAGTTAGTCATTCAGAAGCCATAATGATAGTTACCTTTAAAATAATATGCACACATTGTATAGTCAAGTGTTCTACCACAGACTGATTGTCAACCTGAAGAAGACAGAGTCCAAGTAGGAGCCTAATTGAAGGAAATTACATCGTCAGATTTTCACCATCTACAGCAAAGCTGCAAGCTGATTGACCTCTGCTGCTATGGTAGCCTTCCTGGAAAAGACGCATGGGTTTTTTTGTTTGTTTGTTTGTTTGTTTGTTTAATTTGAGAGAGAGAGATTGTGTACACAAGCAGGGGAGAGGGGCAGAGGGAGAGAGAAAGAGGATCCCAAGCAGGCTCTATGCTAAGCGTGGAGCCTGATGCCCACCCAGCTCGATCCCACGACCTAGGATCATGACCTGAGCCGAAATCAAGAGTCAGATGCTCAACAGACCCAAGTGCCCCTGTTTTGTTTTGCTTTGTTTTGTTTTTTAAACATTTTCTTGGGGTTGCTGGGGTATGGAGCTGATTCAGCAAATGAAAGCAATGTGTGACCTGTGTCAATACAAAGACAGACTTGCCACCTTCCCTGTGGATCATATGTTATTTTACAGGAGTAGATATGGACTTTGTCCAAAATAACTATTTGTATGTCCCTCATTAAAGTTTGTGAAAATGCTTGATGCTTGCTTGGCTCTGAGTAGCCTATAAATTTCTTGAGAATCTGCAGACACATGTGTATATATGCATTTGATTTCATCTTTCTGGATAGTATTTTTTAAAACAAACTTTAAAAAAAAATTATTTATTTTGAGAGAGAGAGTGCAAGTGGAGAAGGGGAGAGAGAGAGAGAGAGAGAGAGAGAGAATGAGAGAGAGAGAGAGAATGAATGAATCCCAAGCAGGCTCTGAACTGTCCGCCCAGAACCCACAGCAGGGCCCGGACTTACAACTGTGAGATCATGACCTGAGCCGAAATCAAGAGTCGGACCCTACTTAGACCCTTAACCATCTGAGCCACCAAGATGCCCCTTAAACAAACTTAATTTAATTAATTTATTTAAGTAATCTCTACACCCCACATGGGGCTTGAACTCACCACCCTGCGATCAAGAGTCGCATGCTCTTCTGACTGAGGCAGCCAGGTGCTTCACAAACTTTTAATTTTAGAACAGTTTTAGAGCATTAAAATGTTATTATTGACTAACGTCCATACTTCATTCAGATTTCTTTAGTTTTCACCTAATGTCCTTTTTTTGGTTCCAGGATCCCATCTAAGATCTTTTACATTTAGTCATATCTCTTTGGGCTCCTTTAGATCATGACACTTTCTCAGACTTTGTTTTTGAAGATCTTGTGAGTTTAAAGGAATGTTGGTCAGGTATTTTGCAGGATGCCCCCCCCCCCCCTTGGGATTTGTCTGATCATGTTTTCTTTATGATAAAGCTGGGAGTATGGGTTTTGGGGAGGAAGCCCACAGAGGTAAAGGACCATTTTCATTACATCATATTAAGGGAGCATGCTATCTGCATGATTTACCACTGTTGCTGTTGATCTTGGTCATCTGGCTAAGGTAGTGTTATTGTCAGGTTTCTCTACTATAAAGTTACTTTTTCTCTCCTGTTCCTTGGTGTGCTGTTTGGAAGGAAGTCACTATACACAGCCCACGCTTAAGGAGTGGGGAGGTCTGCTCAGTCTTCTTGAGGGTGCTGTTTTCTACATAAATTGAGTCTTCTGCCTGGGAGATTTGTCTCTGTTGAATGCTTTATATCAGTATGGATTCATGAATATTTATACTTTGGATTACAGTCCAATACTACTTTATTTTGTTGCTCACATTGTTTCAGTTTGGGCTGTTGGGAGCTCTTTCATTTGGCTCCCGTGGCCCTTTAACATACCCTCCTTCTTATTTTCTGTTTTGTTTTGTTCTGTTTTTGAGACTTTCTTACTTTCTGGCACTACAAAGTGCTACAGACTCATCTTGTATAACTTTCTGCCCCCGTCCGGGATCAGCCATTTCTACGAGAATCCCTGCTTCCTTTTATTGGAGAATGAATGGTATTAGAAACCAAGATCTGGGTAGGTAGTATTATTTTTAAGACCTCTCTTCCTGGCTTTTTTTTTTTTTTTTTTTTTTAACACTATTGTGGTTTCAGCAAGTGGCCAAAAGTAGTTCCAGTCTTCTTGGAACTTTTAGAGTAAGTCTGGGAATTCTGTGAGCAGTAAGAGGGGGGTGGGCTGGGCAGAGAACCCTGGCACAGGAGCTGTCGTCTAGGTCCTTCAGGTCCCACCTTTGCATTAGGTCAGGCACATCATTATAGAGGAGCACTAAAAGTACTTATTCGAACTGTATTTGTATCTTTAGCAAGTTTATGGTTGAAATTGGAGAGTGATATTGGTCCCTGTCCTTTTGCAAGGACCTTCCTGATAAATTGTTCTTCATGTCTGGTTCCAGGAAAATTATCTATCATCAGAAAACAAATGATGTGTAACCTAACTTGGTTCTCTTATATAGTCTTTTAATCTTGGCTTCCAGAAAACTTAGAGCCAAATTTATTGTGTACATATCATTTGCTGGATTCAGGTTCTTGATAGTGCCTATTTGTTTCTTCCTGCAGGTGACTTCTAATTTCTTTTATTCCTAATTGCTTTATTTGCCTAGAGTATGGGCCTGAGCTTCTTTTTTTAATTTTTTTAATTTTCTTATTTTTTTTATTTTTATTTTTTCAATATATGAAATTTATTGTCAAATTGGTTTCCATACAACACCCAGTGCTCATCCCAAAAGGTGTGGGCCTAAGCTTCTTAAAGATCCTTTTCAAGTAGGCAGCATATTATCTCGAACGTTTCATAGAAGAAATGGGAGCAGGCTCCAGGAGCAGGACCTGCTCAAGAACCTGTTTTCTGGCTACTGCCTGGGATGGTCCAAGAAAATCCAATTCTTAAGGAGTTTATTTTCCTGGTGACCTGGATTTTCACTTATTTTGACAGTTTCAGTGTGAGCATTTACATATTCTTGACATCAGCTACCCCGCATATAGAATTAACGCTTTTTCCTTACTTACTAAGTTGTGAACTTTGGTTTGCTTTTCTTCAGAAGGTGTTATCTAGAACACAGCTGTATTACTTCCCATTCCTTGATGTCATATGGGTGAATTTTATGGTTTGATATGACCTTTGTTTAATTAAGAATCTTACAATAAATATTATAAAGGAAGTAAACTTTTAAGGGCTTGCTGTTACAGGAGGTAAAAGTGGCTGTTATTTATCGTATTACCAAGGTACTTTAGTAGAATTTAAGGAAAAAAAGTAGAATCTCTCAATTCTTGAGACACCAGATGACTTTTTAAGGTGATCTGTAATTAGAACATTTTAATTTGAGGAAATTTAAAACCATCATTTCAGGATTTTAGGCTTTGCCAGCTCTGGCTAGTCACTGAGCTTGGCTCAGTTTTCTGTTTCTTAGCTACCTACTGATTTATGTAATTATTTTGGGGTTAGTGCATATGCTTGCTTTTTTTTTTTTTTTAACTAATATTGATGGTGTGGCTCCTAAATAGCTGCAGAGTTATGAACTACATGGGAAACCTCCTGATTTTCAGATAAATTCTAGGATCTCAGAATGCCCAGTAGTCCTTAAGAGCTTAACATGGAGGGTAAGTTCTCATGTTGCTTGCTTGGATTTCCAAATATCTGAATAAACAGTCTTTCTACAGTTGTGCCAACTGAAGGTCATAGGGAATATAGGAATGTGAAGGCCCTTAGGGAATTGTGATCATTATCACACACTTTCGGGATTACATTTCATACTGATAAAAGGGGTAGGCAGTGGTGGTTCCTTTGCCTTCAGCCTCTTGTAAAGCATTTGAGTCTTTGCACGAAGATGTATCTTTAATATATTTTCAGATGTCATGGAAAGAACCATGAAAGCAAGTGATTCTACCATAATTGTAGTACAGTGCACATTGTAGCAAGGGACTACTTAAGCCATGTTTACCCCTTCTGAGTACCA